TACGAGAATTCCGATGAATACGTACCGCACTCGACACTGTGCTCAACGATGAAGCGCTCCTATACCCGCAATGCGGACGATTTCTGTGGTGCTCGCCTCTGGCGAAACCGCTGCAGATGACGAAATGCTTTTGGAGCGATGGGTGCAACAGCACCAGAACCTTTCCTCGTTGTTCAACTTACAGTTGATCCACGGGGAGTTGACGCGCGTGTCCAAGGCCATCTTTGGTTTGAGTTTGTCATACTCAAGGCGCGTCGCCAACTTCCTTCGGATTGTCTCCCCGCGACGTATGGGTTGGTCCATCACGCTCCCGTGAGCTCTTAAGTCTCTCACACCGGTGACTCTGCGACCGCAGCAGCTCAAGACCATAGCTTTAGCTCAGCTCATGGCCCTTCGGTTTCCCTGGCTCTTGCCGAGAAGCGCGGGGTGTGCGACGACGCGGAACGGCTTGACCATCTTATCAAAAGCGTCCACGACGTCTGGGCAGTCTTACCGAAGTGGCCCTTCAAACTACCACGAGTTCTTGCAGTTGGGTACCTCCGCCACTTCACAAGATATGTAAATCGACCCTGGCGACGACGCCGGCCCATAAGACGTTCCACGTGATAAAGGACACCACCATTCCCCGGCGGCAAACGATGACGACTGAGTCGATCGCTGTCCAGTCACTCGCGATGCTCTTCAAGCTCTGAGGGCGAGGTCCGTCGCGATCGGAACTCCGCTGAGCATCATGCTGAGTTCGCATACCGCTGCGCGAAAGACCTAGAGATCTTGGAGCACGTTGAGCACTAGCTGCATCACGCTGAGGACTATCGTGCTCTGTCGGAGCGGCCTCTAGCCTTTGAGCAAACGAATGTGTCGTTTCATGCGAAGGTGGAGCGCTTGGCGCCATTGAGATGGAGATCGTTGTATCTTGTGCTTGGAACCAGATGCTGGCCCAGCTTCTGGGTAGTTGAGCGCCTATGGGCGTCGCTTTGGTGCCAAAGCTTCAGCGTTCACTTGCGCCGGACTTCAAAGTTTTGAACTTTTTTCTACCTCGTCCGTCGTTACATTTCTTCTTGCATGTCTTGGCTTTCAGCAATCGCATCGCGAGCCGACTCAGCCTGGTGGACAGGAAATCATCGCCTTCTTTCCGAACAGTGCGAGGGATGATATCACCTAGCCGCTCGACTATTCCTCCCCCACCGATCTTCGAGCCATGGGATGACCGCAGACCGATGGTGAAGCTGAGCGCGTGAATTGCGTCGTCGATGGCGTTCTTCGCAGCGTCTACGCTGAGACTCCGAGGTGCTGGATAGCCATGCTACCACTCTTAGATTTTGCTCTGAACAATACAGAGCATTCGTCTACCGGCTACACGCCGTTGTACGTGAACATGCTTATTCATCCTCGCGTCCCGCTGACGCCGATGGTCCGCTGATGACATTTCCAGCTTGGTTCCCAGCATCTTGGAGATCGTCGAAATAAGTCTTTGTGAGAGACAATTGAATCCGGGAGTCCGTGTTGACGAAAGACACGATCCGCAAATAGCATCGCTGTACCGACATCGTTGTTGGATTCGGCACCGCCGCAAGATGAGCCATCTTGCTCAAACGGTCGACGAAAAGTTTTGGTCGCCGAGTCCTTCGGCAAGCCAAACACAAAGTCCGAATTCATGGACTACCAACATCCGAGGGTACCGGCAGACTGGCCAGCGGTGCCGCCGCATTCAGATAGAATTTCACTCTCTGACACGTCTCACACATGCGCACATAGGTGCTCGTCCATTTTTACAGCTTAAGCCACCAGTAGTGGCAAATTACAGAGTTGTAGATCTTTTCACGACCAAGCGGCCTCAATGAGGATACGGTACTTCAAATCCTCATCGTGGCAACCGCAAATTTGCGGCGTATCCGTCGGGTCGGTGCTACAATACAGCAATCCATTATTCAATGAATATCAGTGTAACGTACACGCAGTCGCGACGGCAACTTCTTGTCCGAGTTTCCAAACTCCTTGCACTTGAGAGCCTGTAGAAGCACTACGCACATATCATCACCCGCGAACGCGACGCGGATCAAATCCGTCGTGGACGACGTCACTGTCGTGTCCTGAACATGCTCAAAATATGGTCTTTGTGACAGCGCATCAGTCAAAGCTTTCTGCTTTCCTGGCTTATACTTTACCTTGAAGTCATATTTTGCGAAGAAGCACGAACACCTGGCCATCCTCTGAGAGAGATGAGGCGACTGAGTCGCAGTGCGTAGTGACGCATGATCTGTGTCGATCACAAACGGCTTGGAGCCGAGCAGGTGAACCATGAACTTGACAAGTGTATTCTTCATCGCAAGTGATTCCTTGTCGTCGACTTGTAAGTTCTTCTCCGCAGCCTTGAGCGAGCGCGGTCACCCGATCCCGCCCCCCGGTGTCTGCTTGCAGCAGTGCGTAGCTGATGGCAAAGTCTAAAGCGCTGCCAGCGGAATATCAATCTCTTTCATGGGAATTGGTAATACCCACCGACCAAGTTGCGTGCACTGTGCTTTGCAGATCCAACCATGTTGTTCTAGGTAACATCCTTCCTATGAATCGGCGTCTGTGCCGATATGTTAGCAAATTTTAGCTTATTGTAAGCGTGAACGATACGCCACTTGCCGTTTAGTTTCCGGACACAAAATGCGAGTGTCGAATGGAGAGACTTGCTCTCAATCACCATTTCTGCGTCGTGCTTCGCACGGAAAATGGTGCCAGCGACGTCACACTGATCCTTAGGCAGGAGTCATTGGCGTGTTACGTAGTATTTGGTTCTCGGGGCCAGGTCGATTTCATGACGCACCCTCAGTCCGGAGGTAGGACCGACGGCGGGTCCTTAAAGACGACGCCTTAAAATTTCTTCATCAAAGAATAGTACAACCGAGAGGATGCTATAGGATCATAGATCCACTTTGTGCGCTCAGCACCTTATAGGTGTCCCCCAGGACAGCTTCATCCAGAAGCGATGATGAGATGATTCCCTCTTCCGGTCGTATAATGACCACTTCGGCTCAGCCGTCTGCCTTCAAGGCACCGCCAAACTCTTCGACGGACATCTCGTCCAGCTCAAGAAGAGCGTTCACCGCAGGAAGAGCCTTGAGGGTGACTTCGCCGTCTTCTTTCTCCGTCATACCGTTGACGAGGATTTATAGCTGTTCGCTATCGTCTACGGAAGACATATCCTGGATCAGGGTCAAAGCTAGTATAGGCGTCGCCGTCGTCTCCCCACAGAAGTTGTACGTCTCGGCGAGACCAGTGGGAACACACACTCAGCGTCGTCGAGTGTTAGCCCCACTTCCTACTCCACCGGATCCCTGATATTATTAGCAACATCCGACGAAGAGCTGCTAGCTCTGCAGTCTTCGTCCAGTGGATAACGTGCCACCCCACGCGCATCTGAAGGGCCTTGCCCTAGATACCTCGAGCCATGTCCGCCATGCCACTCATAACATGCATCGACTGCTTCAAAACGTGAGCAGTGCTCAGTGGATTACGTGCCACTTCACGTGCACCACTGAGGCCTCGCCCTCGATTCCTCGGCCCATGGCACGCATGGCATGCAGCGACTGCTCCGGTACTTGAGCAGCGCTTAGTGACTTAGGTGTCACTCCACGTTCAGCCCGCGAGCCATCTTGTCCGATACACCTTGGGTGTTCACCAACTCGGATACTGCGATCTCCAGCACGCTGACCGTCTCGGTCCAGTGCCGTACCAATAGCGTTTCTGCCTACTAGCAAAGGTGGCTTCATGACTTACCAAAGCTCCGCCAGGAGGCGTGCGTAGCAGACGCCTAAGGTCTTCGACCTTCAGTCGATCCATGGATCATGGTGTTCCAACCATGACAAACCAAGGATGAGATCATGCCATGAATCCAATTCTAAGACTAAGCAGCGTTTCACGCTATCAAAGTCAAGAAACTTGACACCGGAGACCAGAGGTTGTTGCACGCTCTCAGGGCCAAGCGGAGACATCAGCATTTTAAGCCCGTCCTGCATGCCCTGAGGCAAATAAGATATCTACTCCATTCTCACAGAGGGTCAGTCTTAACGACTCAGGTGTAGATTGACTACAAGTGCTACGTGCATTGGCTGATCAATACCATCAAGATCTTTGGCTTTGCAGTAACGAAAAGGATAGCTCAAAAAAGTACTCAATGTCTATTCAATTGCAACCAGAAACGCATAAAGCAATATGACAGAATAAAGATTTTATGCCATGGCTTTACCGCCATAGTGCAAAAGGTAGTGTGTTAGCATGGAAGCAATATTTTCACTAATATCCCATCAGGTAGTACAGAGCTAGAAAAAGTATACACCAAATGAATAAGAGAAAGTTTAGGTATCTTGGCGACAACTTCCGCAGCCACCACTCTACCCACCATCGATAATAGCTTTTCTTTGAAGTCTTCATAAGCATACTATCCGTGGTTACGTGAGCGTAATCTAACAAGTCGAGCAAGAACACAACTTGATATCGTGACGGAAACTACATCAGGTCAGCAAGCCATTATCAAAACAGGTGACAAAATACTTTTACGAGTTTCAACGGCAGCAATTTTCATAAGGTAAATTATAGGCTAAACTGGGGCGACTTGTACTTCGATATTATACGCTCCATATAGACTTTGAGTGGGAACAGCTGATAAACGCATTACGATAAGTACGACACATCACGCACTTAACATCGGAGAATTATGATTATAAACTGTTTTAGCCACAACATTTCAGGGTGTCAACAGCAAATAGAGCTTAACATAGAAATGTACCAGCCCAAGAATAATATTTGCGGGAGGCAAAAAAAATAAGGACACAAACGAGACCTGACAGTATGTTGTTTGTGACGAATGACCTGATCTCGATTTCTGACTAGCACCAGTAATCTTCTTCAACGCTCGCTCAGTATAGAGATTGTTGGAGGGGGAAAAATCATAGACGCACTGATGCAAGTCACGAGACCTGATCGTATATTGTTTGTGACGAATGACCTGATCATAGATTTCTGTCTAGCGCCAGAAATCTTCCTCAAAGGGTGCTCAGTATAGAGCTATATTTGTGCTGATTACCACGTTGAATCGCTCGTTTGATATTTTCTGCGGGTCCGCATCATGAATGATTAAAATTTGCGCTATAAATATACACGTTGCACCTGGCTGCAGTAGGTTTTTATGCACTTTGAACCAAGGAAGCTTTGCTTAAATGAGTTCATGTCATCTCGCGTACAGATAGTAATTTTGCATGCTGTCAGCAAAAAAGTGGATCTACTTGCTGCTATATATTTACGAGGGTGTCAAATATTTAATATTTTAAATCAACTAGTACAAAATTCAAAATTTACGATGCTCGTTGATATAAATATCAGCTTGTATGACTTGTGGCTAACAGCCCTCGTGTTCATCTGATTCCTCACTGGTATCATTACTATTTTGGCACGTCTGAGTTTTGCGTAGCTTCACAAACTGTGATATATACTTGTTCAATTGTACAGCACACATCTCTTCTTTCCATTAAGTAGTAGATCGCATTGTCTTCTCAATATACTATTTAAAAATGAGCGTTTAAAGAGCACCCACTTTGTTTGGAACTCCACGCCACTCCTTGTACAAAATAGCGCCTTCTTTATGAGCATGCTCGCATAAGATAGTTTTATCTCTTGCAATACATCATTTGGCTCAGCGAGCTTCTGAGAGTGAGTCGGTCCTTTTAGATGAAATATTACAACGTCGGTGAGATAGCTAAGGTGTCTTCCGATGGGAGCAGTCGAAGCAAATGTATCAGTCTTCACACAACATCATATTTCAGCATGCTAGTATGCAAGCGCCACACTGGCAGCGGCTTGATCACATCGTGGTTACGAACTTGCTTATTTTGATGCTGCTCTCGCGCCGAGGCAAAGTCCTCTACATGTGTGCCTTTTGCTCATACAGAAAGCGAAACGAGCGCCTAAATCAAACTGCAGTCACTTATTGACCGCACAGGTCGCCACTCTTCAGTGGCACAGCCTTTCATTGAAGCAGCAGCGAAAGAGTATATATTCGCTCTCTCATGATGTCACCTTGTATACTGAGCGCTGGTAGAAATGTTGAAGTTTATCGCACTTGGATTACACACTGGGGGAAGAAGACTCGTCGCTTCACCCTTTTGATAGCTTTACCAAACAACGTCAGCAAAGCAGATGTCCGAAAATAGCGTATTTATATGTTAGACTTCACAAACAACAAAGCACGAAGTGGGCATCGACGTGAATGAGTTCCTGTCAGATTATTTAGCTGACGCAGGACATCATCTCACTCTCTAAGTCCCGGCGTGCGGTCGATACCAATTCTCGGATGCGCTCTCTGAGTAACGCCATCGCACTAAGTGACTAAAAAGACCCAGAACGTATCACCGCTCAAGAACGGAGGGTAGCTACAAGGGGCCATGAAGACTTTGCTTCGTTTCTAACAGAGCACCTCTCATTCGATCAGCTTGTAATAGCTTAAAATATCGATTCTATCTCGATTCTCATTCGAATGTCAGAATCCCAATTCGATGTCTTCCTCGCTGCAGCCATAAACGGCATTATGGGGCGTAAACGCTACATAGCATTGTAGACGACAGACACTGCATGAGCGGTAGTCTAGCAGTGCTTAGATTCACCCTTTTTTCAACAAAGATGTTCGTGTGTGCTTTACCTGTCCATGGGATTGACACTCGATTTTGTACTTTGCGTCTATTAGCCATTGTGTCGTGCACTCGACTCATGACACTGAAACGCGTTGAGATATACTCTGCGATTTCGCTCCGAAGAAAAGCCGAGCTCGTTTTAGCGATCTTAATAATATCAACAGCCTTTCCATTCCAATTTCTTAATTTGTAGCGGTGTTAAAGAAAAAGAGAAGCTTACCTGACCATCTATGAAAAGTGGTTAATTTGTAAAGACAGATACGGCTTCATTCATCGCAATCTCAATGGATGGGGGCAACTTGCCGCAGGCTTTTTGGAAAAGTCATTTGAAGAAGATCTTTCATTCTCTAAAATTTGCGTTCCGTCTACTCGCCAGTCTTCAGATTGTTCACGGTGGACATGTTTAATCTAGTGTATAGCAAATAAAAAAGTTTGCTGCAAAGTGCGGACACAATGGCCACTGGCAAGCTGTGACGAGGAATGGCTTAGCTTTTTCTTATCGGTAATTGCATCACCGAGAGCAGCAAGATAAGTCATTTTGCCCAGTTAGCTACAGTTTCGGTATTACCGGACGCGTCATTGGAGAGACCAGAGTACAGTAGATACGTATATGCTGCCAACTCTTTGCCAATACTGACAGTCTGACCAAAGGCGTCAGCGCCACACGTTGTGCTTCCATACGATCGTACCCTCTCATACATGTTGGTCGACCAGTTGAAAACGCTCACTAAACAGTATGACTTTTCTCTTCCGCGGTAGTCACCCCCTGATGTATCATAAGCCTCGACCAACATTTTGTATCTGCGACCCTCACAATAAGACTCATGTCAAGTATCAAGTGGATCAGCGATCAGTACAGCAAGCCATGAGATAAAAAATCGCGGCCCAGTCATGCAACCGGAAGTCTCGATAGAGCGGCATCTGATTAGTACTCTGTTGGATTCCATCGCTTTCAGATAGGCAACACAGGTTGCGTCTAACCCTTACGCAGTACGTTTCGCTCTATCAATGGACAATATCACTTTCATGACATGCAACAATTTATGGTAAATTCGACATGAAAGCGCATCTGACATCATACTAAGCCGAATGAGCTTGCACCTTAAGCATCTTGTAAATCTCTTAGATAAATGTGGTGGCGATGTCGCTGTGCGCAACGAAGCATGAACTGTATAAAGCACAAAAGGTGAAAGCCAAGTAGGTGCAATACATTATACCTGTCGTAAACGAGGCATTTTTCTCGGCAACTCTTAGCTAGCGAGATCCAGACGTGATTGCGGGACCGTGCCCAGTGGCATCTGTCTGGAGCCAAGTGCAGTCTATTGCAAAGACCGAATTGCTACATACAATTCAAATTCTCCGATCTGGGTTCGGAAGAGCCAGAATGAGGGCACGCTTAAGCTTTCTGTTTCCAGCCTTCAAGGTCGCCTTTTTCCGCCACACCCCAGTATCACTTAACATTCTTCTGGAGGAACCGGTGTTTGGGATCTGCTCACATGCCATGCTTCCCAATAAAGCGATTCATAAGAGGTATGAAAGACGCACTTGTCGATATCGGCGATCAGCCGATACAAATGTATATACTTGAGTACTGCTCGCAAATTTCTATGCTTGTTTACTTTACATGTAGTTGTCTACAACCGAGTCTTAATACTATGAGTGTATGCATCGTCGACATGGGTTTAAAGATAGGTTTTATGTGGCCTGAACAGTTGTGTGACCGGACAATAAATCGCCGTCGGACCGTTTAGCAGTTCCAGTGGCCTAACCAGACATTACTAGAGCACTCCGCTCGAAGTATGAGAAGGCTTCACTGTCTCTCATGGACACCATTAGTTTATCCATGAAAACAGAGCAAGCGTACACGACCATGTTATTCCACACCATATTGATTTCTGCAAAAGGCGTTTGTGCTGCACGATTCTCCACTTACCGTAAACAATTATGACAGCCAAAGCTGGTGCCAAGCGATTAGATTCACCCTCTCCCACGAAAGCAGCTTTGTGCTTCGCACGAAAGAAACGTTACACTTATTCCTCGTTAAGATCCGTTGATATGTGAATCAGTATTGAGCTTCGGGAACCTGACACAGAAAATACACTTCCTATCCATTATTCCATTAAAGACCCTTCAAGACTCCGGAAAACCGTCGCATATTACTATTCAAGCAGAGATACATCCTAAAGACCTCAATATATGTTAGCTATTCTCTGCCTTATGCCGCTACCTACCCTCCGAGCTTTGCTCAAGTACGTTGTATATTTTGAAAAAACAATCCGGACAATCTGATATTCAACACCAAAGATATTGTATCATATGTCCGCGACAAAAGCGCATCTGCCTTGTATCGTTGGTGGAATCATCTCTCGCCGAAGCTCCACCAGAAAATAAGTGTGTGGTGCCCTACGTATCAATCCTAAGTAAATCCAGGGTCCATACCTTTTAAGCTTCGCCATAGCTAGGATGAGATCATATCGAATTCGGATCCAGGACGAGAAAATGTTCCACGATCACAAAAAAGCTTAGACAAATATTCACTGTTTCACTAATGACCTCGTTGCAAGCTGCTCAAATGTTGTGTCTTAATCGGCATCTTCGATACCTCCGCAAATTATGTACTGTTTTTGACAGTCGCTCGTCGTAAGTAATTGTAGAACGCTTTTGGGGCCACACATGGCTTCGTGCATTCTTACTCATTTTCATTGCCCATTGACCTCGATCCCCACGGGGTACAAACAAGCCAGGTTTCCTCGCAGAATACCAGCCTATGTTTACTGGCAGTTGACAGTTTCTCACGAGTGTTCGTCAGCGCTAGAGTCCGACCCTTCGTACCGCTAGCCAAAGAAAGAGGGAGAATGCAGAGCACAGATATTAAATACTCACTCAGATTTAACATCTGCAATCTCACCAAGCTGCTATACAGCCATAATTCCTCTCTCTTCTTCCTCAGCATGGCTGAGATCTACCGTTTTGGCGCGCTTGTAGAGCTTCCAGCTCTGATAGCCTTAAAGGCAGTCACGGCGCGGCAATTAGACTCTGCATTTGATGCAACAGTCACCGCTTCACGAAAGAAATAGAATAAACGCGAAGATCTCAATGCGAGGTGCACCTTTATGAGACCCAACACGAAGATTATACCTGTTACCACCTCCAGGATGGGGTCTGATAATAATAATACGCAACATTTAAAATATCAGGCCGGCCATGATGGTTGGACTAGAGCTAGGAGACGCTTGATCTGGCGGTACTAACACAAGCGATATACGGTTGCTTATATCTTTCCATGTTCGAAATGCCTCTTTTGTTGCGGTGTTGTACCACAAGCGCGACGCGTTGTTGCTCCATCTGGAGTATGGCCGGATTTTGGCTCTTTCACCATCATTTTGATTTGTTCTCCTTCTATTCAACCAAAAGTTGAAAAGTTTACATCAACTGGGAGCGCAGTCCGCTCCCACCACCGACTTGTTGAGGACTTCTTGGAGGCGTCCACACCGCTTTCAGCCCATGGATCACCAAGCATGCTATACATCAGCGATACATAAGATAACGAAGAAGCGTGTCTGGGTGTCCCGAGGATAGATAGTCGAACCACCTTTATTTCATCCTCGCATAAGATCTAGTCTCTTCACGACTCGGCCGTCAAATTGTCTACAACTCTACCTAGTTCATCATTGACGTGCGTCTTGCACAACGGCAGCGAGTCAGCTCAAATTGAAATGTAGATCACGTTTTTAAGCTCTATCCATAAAGGACCCGGAAGCCTCTCAAATAACTTAGTGCTTCTTACTCTTTCTTGTGGTATCACATTATAGTCAAGTCTATTTGAATAAGTATCAGATACTTACGTTAGTAGTAAAAGCATCTGCTATTGCGCTAACAGCTCACGTGTCCATTCTGAATTTTGATATACAACACAAAAGTGTATTTCGTTAATGCAGTAGTACAGTACGTACC